GGCCGCAAACCCAGATGTGTATGAATTCTCTAGAGTTGTTTTCGGGAGAACTCAGCTCCCTTGAAGCCCAATTCATCGCCCAGGAGAATGCCAGGCGGCACCAAACCGAGTTCCCATTAGCTGCAGAAACTGTCCTTCAGTCCACCTACATGGATGATTCGTTAGACAGTGTTGAGGAGGACGAGAAAGGAGTCGACCTGTATCACCAGCTTAATGCATTGTGGGCAAAAGCAGGCATGCACGCCCGAAAATGGGTGTCGAATTCAGCAACGGTGATGGCAGCCATACCTGAGGAGGACCGAGCCACAGAGGTGGACATAAAAGACAGTAAGGATACAGTAACGACAACGCTTGGCTTACAGTGGAACAGCACCGATGATTTATTGGCCGTGCCTGCAACACCCAGTGACCGAGGGCTACCCAATTACTAAGAGGAGTGTTTTGAAGAAAATTGCAACTGTTTTTGACCCGCTTGGCCTGATAAGCCCTTTAAATACAAGCGAAGATTATGCTCCAAGAACTGTGGAACCGTGGCTATGACTGGGATGAGGAGGTTCAGGGCCAGTGGCTAATCGTCTTCAGGTCTGGTTCTCACAGCTGTCATGCCTAGAAAAGGTCAAGATTCCACGGTGTCTGCAAAACCAGCAACCAGTCAAGTCGAAGGAGGTGGTGACCTTTGTTGATGCCTCAACACAGGCCTATGGAGCTGCCTCCTACTTACGCTGCAGTATGAAGATGGTACCGTGTCCGCACAGCTGATAGCTTCTAAGAGTAAGGTTGCCCGCTTACCCCCATGACCGTGCCAAGGCTGGAATTAATGGGAGCCATAGTGGGTTTAAGGTTAACCCAGTCCGTGTCCAGAGTCCTGGAACTACCCGTGAAAGCAGCGTCGTTATTTTCCGACAGTACAGACGTGCTATGGTGGATTCGTGGAAGAGGCCGAGACTTTCGACCCTTTGTGGCAAACCGTATTGGGGAGATACAGATTAGTACTGAACGGTACAGTGGCAACATGTCTCCACCGACAAAATCCTGCAGACCTGTGTTCCCGAGGAACGAGCCCAGCTGAGCTTGCTAAATCCGAACTATGGTGGAATGGCCCGGAATGGCTGATGAAGGAGAAAAGTGAGTGGCCTAAGATGGAGTTAGCCGAAAGCCCGAAAGTGATGCCCGAAATGAAGTCGACAACAAAACAGCAACAGGGTTCTACCACCCTCGTGACAGTGCAAGAAAACCAAGCTCAGAGGGACAAGCCAAGTCAGGGTGGCAGTGTTCCAGTCTGAGATTGAACCCAAACGCTTCTCAAGTTGGAGCCGACTGGTGAACCTACATGCTAGAGTAAGGAGGGCGCTCCACAACATGTTGAAGAGGGGTCCGCGACAGACCAGCAAAGCATTGTCACCGTGGGAAATAAGAGAAGCTGAGGCAGAGGTGGTGCAATCCTGTCAGCGCGAAGCATTCCCTGACGAATACAAAGCTCTAGTGACCGGGAGACCAATACTGACCAAGAGCCGACTAATGAAGTTGAATCCTGTGTTAGATGAAGAAGGCTGTATCCGTTCAAATGGAAGACTCCAGTTCGCAGAGTACCTGCCTTTACGATGTGCGATTTCCAATGATACTGCCTCGAGGACATTGTGTCACGAAGCTCATTGTCAAGCATTATCATGAACAGGCTAACCATACAGCAGGAACCAACTTTGTCTTGTCCCAAATCAACCAGAAGTTTTGGATCATTGCAGCCCGGAAGAGATCCGAGAGGGGAGCGAGAGTGCAACATGTGCAAACGAATGCAGAGCAAGACCGCTACACAGATCATGGCACCGATTCCAGGGATCCGTCTTCGCTTTACCTTCCGTCCCTTTGACCAAACAGCCGTTGACTATGCTGGCCCCTTTACAACCGTACAAGGACGAGGTGTGCGCCGACAGAAGAGGTGGCTGTGTTTGTTTACTTGTCTGTCAACCCGTGCGGTCCATTTGGAGGTGGCTTTTGGTTTGGACACCGACAGTTTTCTGAATGCCTTTACACGCTTTACAAGCAGAGTGGGAGCGCCAAAGGAAATGATAAGCGACTGTGGGACCAATTTTGTTGGAGCCGTCAATGAACTAAAAGAACTGATCAGTAAGCTGGACCAGGACAAGATTCAGCAAAGCACAGCCAATCGAGGTGTAACATGGAGATTCAACCCCCGGGGCACCACTTTTGGTGGCATTCACGAGGCCATGATAAAGTCGGCCAAGAAAGCTATTTACGGAGTAATCGGAACGAGTGACGTAACTGATGAAGAGTTAATTACCGCAGTGACTGGAGTGGAAGGACTGCTCAATGCACGACCGCTCACCTACCAGTCAGCCAACCCCAGGACATTGTACCGCTGACTCCAAACCACTTCTTACACGGACAGTTGGGCGGTCAATTCGCACCTGAAACCGTTGATACCACCGAGTTCAGTCCACGAAAACGTTGGCGAAAGGTCCAGGAGATAATTTCCCAAGTCTGGAGGAGGTGGCTACAAGAGTACCTTCCTTTGTTAAGCAGAAGGCCAAAGTGGACCGAAGTGGTCAAGGATCTGAAGGTGGATGATGTTGTTCTCGTCCTGGATTCTAAACTGCCAAGAGGACGATGGCCTCTAGGACGCATCATCGAAACTTATACAGGAAGGGATGGCCACATCAGAGTCGCTAAGATCCAATGTGGCGCAAGCACCATCGTTAGACCAATTCATAAACTGGTGCCCTTGCACGAAAGTTAGAACACTGAACATTTCTCGTTGTTATAGTTTTCTGTTTCAATCTTTTATCGAACAATCACACTGATCCTTACCTCCCCAGTGTGGGGGGGGAAATGGACAAAAGACATTTCGAGTCTCGCGTCACGCAATCGCACGCGTGAGTTTTTAGTGATCAGATTTCATTTTTTTTGATTGACAGTTACTCTGATTTTGTAATTCACACGCGGTCGGGTTTTTGTAGTTGTCATGAGTTGTTATCAGAACATGTAAGTTTTAGGAGCCGTAAAATTAAAACCGTGAGTTTATTTAACCGACGAGATATCGTTTGTTGTCTTCGCAACAAACTAAAAAATTGACGTTATTGTATCAGTCCCTTCCTATAAAAACCCTTCTCAACGGATAGACAGTATTACGCTTATAAAGTTGCCGTTATTACTTAGATTAGCAATTGAAATGTTTTAGTTCTTCACTACACAAAATATCTTCTTTGCTTGGACCTGACCTTATGGCCTCCTGCTCTATACCCACTTGTACAGGGCGCTGTTTATGTTGTGCTTCTGGCCATTGTAGTTGTTTGCTACTGCAAGGTAAGTATGACCTTTGTATTCAAATGACGTCATACCAAAAGCTCCTTGGGTTGGAATCTCTTGGTACTTGATGAACTGCGCTCCAGAGGCCTGGTACACAACTGACTTGGTGTTGTGCTTCTGACTATCACCATGGAAATTAGTCACACCAAGGTAGGTTTGACCGCTGATTACAAATGGACACCATGCTATGGCTCCTCGAGTAGGAATGGACTGGAACAGGACGAACTTCTTACCATTCCACTTGTAAATGAAAGAATCGGTGTTGTACTTACTTCCAGAGTGTTGGTTGGCAAAAGCGAGGAACGTGTGTCCGTTGACGTTGAAAGACTTCACATCGTACGCTCCGTAAGTCTGAAGAGACTGCAGTTTAACAAAGTGACCTCCTGACCACTTGAACACAGTGGACTGAACAGAATACTTGTGTTGGGAGTTGTAATAGTTTGCAAAAGCGATGAATGTGTCACCGTTTATCACAAACGCTGTACATCCGAAGGCACCTTCAGTTGGTATGTCTTGAAATCTGTTAAACTTGCCGCTGCTCCATTTGTAGATAACTGACTTTGTAGAATGGGTACTTCCGTCATAGTGGTTGGCTACTGCGAGATAATTTTCCCCGTATACCTTGAAATAGGTGAAGTGGCTTGCTCCTCTCGTTGACAATTTCTGAAAGTCTACAAACAGCTTTCCATTCCATTGATAGACTGTAGAATCCAGCCGGTATGTTCCATCGTAATGATTAGCGACAGCAAGAAAATGTTTGTTGTCAATAGAAAAGTACTCCAGGTCATACGCTCCTCTTGTCTGCAGGGTCTGGTACAAAGACAATCTTCCAGTCGAGTTATCCATCTTGTAGATTGTGGAACCTGTCTTGTATTTTTTAATGTCCCCATGATGGTTGGCAAAAGCAAGAAACAAACTTCCATCAATGGTGAAATGTTCAACATCTACTGCTCCTCGGGTTGGAAGATCTTGAACTTTCTCAAAGAAGTGGAATCCAACAGAGCAATCTTCCACAAGAAAAAAAAATGTTGAAAATCTTTGTTATCAAACAATTACTATAAAAAACAACTAGAATAAATCGAAAATAAGGTAGAAAGGTACATGTAACTCATGTGTTGTTTTGCAGTTTTAATGTACATGTGAAGGAGCCACGTATTTCGGCAGCTCTTCTTTCTAATGAATCAATGTACATGTGTATCGTAGACAAAAGTAATAAATAATGCTCATACCAGCTAAACAGCACTTCGATTTGCTCTAAAAGGCAAAATAAAAACAACAAAATACAATTTAATAACAAAGCTTGCAATCTCCTAAAATGTAGTTATTCATGCAAACTATAGGGTTTAACACCCGTACAGTCAACTTCTTCTGACGACAATCTCCCTTGATCGAACATCAAGAGATGTAAAAAGGCTCCCACTTTCAAGATAACATTGAGATATAAATCTAATGATAACATCATGTTTAATGTCAGTGAACAAAGACTGCGAGTATTTTCTTCCTCTTTCCTTGAACTTGTGGGACATGTGAGTTGACTTGTACCAGTAAAAATCTCGATTGTCACTTGTCATGGCCTTGCCGCTAACTCACGCACCCTTCCTCCTTTAAACATAACAGGAAAAAGAAGAGATCGTGAATGCAACACGTGTATGAAGTCTATGGTAATAAAATTAATAAGGCTTTCGTAAAAAGAATTATAGATATATATATATAAAAGGTTACGGAGATTGAAAATCTGGAAAGTGTTTTATGATAATTACCTTTGTATCACACGTTCCCGACATTCCTTTTTGTCCTTGTGATCCCTTCTCTCCTGTGACCCTTTGTCACCACGAGATCCTTTCTCACCCTTTGTGGAGAAATCAAAGGTAATATTTATGATTCTTCATTCGTAGGTCAGGACCACTAAAGAAAATTGAATGAGTCCTTTGTTGCTGTGAGGGTAAAGCATTCGCTTTCCTTTTTGTTTTCTCTGAAAATTGGTCATTTCTGTCTTCAAAAAGAAGTATAAAGTTACGCTTACCTTAACACCACCACTACTGTTTTTCTCCATTCCTGGTTCTCCTTTCTACCTCTACAACAGAAATAATAAGAACCCACAAGATGATGATGATAATACTAATACTAATACTAATACTACTACTAATAATGATAATAATAAGTAAACAAAGCTATTAAACTGTAACAAAATAGTGACAATGATGATGTCGATGAAGATAACAGAAAAGAGTTCTCAAAGAGATAATGAAAAGTACGAAAAACAAATGAAACTAATGATCAGGTGAAATTAATTTAAAAAGACCGTAGGAAACAGGCCGGGATAAACTAATTTAAAGGCCAAGTCTGCAGATTTTACGGTTACCAAAGACGGTTTGATAGGTCGTTATGATCATTACCATTTCTTGGGGTGTGTAAGACATTGCATTCATTAAGTTAAAAAGAAGCCTAAAATTTTGAATATTTGTTTGGTTTACTCAAAATTCAGCTGTTTGACTTCCTTATGAATTTGCGTACAGCTTACAGTTAGTAACCCTCAGACTTTAAAGCACCTCAACCAAATTGCAACAAACAGTTTTTGAATTTTTTAGAATTCAAAATAGCTTTCATGTCACAAAATTCCTTTGTTTGTTGTTTATTTGAGGGTCTCATTGACTACAGTACGGCATGACGAGGATTTCTGCTAAATGTCGACAAATTTTAATCAGTAGATTTTAAAGTAAAACTATTGTCGTTTGTTTACGTTGCCTTTGAAAGTCAACAAATCAAAGTAGACAAAAACAGAATAAATTTCCCCTGACAATAATTGACAACTATAAGGGATTATACAATGATGTGACTGCTACGCGCGCTGTGATTGGTCGTTGCCCATGATCTATTAGAGTACAGATACATGGATGACGTAACGGGAAACTTGTTTTCTTTGTTTTGTTCAACATGACACGCGGTTTTGAAAATGTTTGTGAGATTATTTCCGATTGAGGCAAGTGAAAGCTTCGGAAAAAGTTTAGCAGGAGCTATTTACAAAGAAGAAAAATGGAGAAACGGAGACCAAAAAAGCTATTGACTACATGACAATGCCTAAACTACAAGTAATCTTCACAATAGTTGCCATCGTGTGTCTTCGCTACGAGAGACTCGCTGTTTTGCAAAATGTTTTCGCTATTATTCTTCTTTGAGCAAGAAAAGACGGTGAAAAGCTTTTCGAAGAAACTGTACACAAGTAAGATAAAGAAGAAGCTAAGATGAAAAGTTGGGTTTGGGACTTAAAAAAATGCCTAAACTAGCACAAATCCTCAAAAGGTCAAGCGGTTCGAGGCAAGTATGTGTATCGCTCTTTTTTCTTTTCTGATCATTGTATAAAACAAAATAGATTCCATGTTGCAGTGGGTCTGTTCAGTAATAGATCACAGAGGACGTCAAAATGTGGTAAAAACAACAGTGACACACTCGCCTGCGGCTCGTGTGCCACTTTTTTGTTTTTACGACATTTTGACGTCATCTGTGATCTATTACCGAACAGACGCACGGCAACATGGAATCTTATCCCTTTAATAATAAGAGGAGAAAGTTACCCAAACTTTTGTAATCATCTAAGCAACGTTTTTTAAATTATTTTTTCCTTATTTCTATTATTTTATTTTTATTTTTCTGCATTATTAATCTCTTAGATGTGAAAGCGTCTAGAAGTATTGAAGTAGACGTAGAAACTTCTAAGCATTCTTCTCAACTTGTCCTCACACTTTTTTCTTTAAAAGCTAATTGGCTGCATATGTTCTCATAATTAAAATGTTAGCATGCATAGTAAATGCATAAAGCATTTCTAGAGAAACTGTCCTCAGCAACCTTAAAAGTTAAAATAGGGAACAATGTTTTGGGAACTTCTCACTCTAGAAAAAGTCTACTTTTTACTGCGAATTTTAAGATCTTAACTCTTTTTTTTTTTTTTTGGAGCAAGGTTTTACTTTTATCAATTAATTACTTTAGTAACTTTAATGAGGGACCCACTTAAAACTGCCATGGGAAGTTGGGTTCCCTCTATAAAAATTATTATTATTATTATTATTAGTATTTCATTATTATTGTTATTACTATCACCATCATCATTATTATTTTTAATACAAATGCTAAGAGAATAGCCAGTTTGCTTGTCTTTAGTGTGGTGGAGATCAAAATAAAGTTTTAACTCTATTTTGATAACCAGACGAGTTAAAACTCGTCTGGTTATGATTTTGCTGATTTTGCATCGTTCAACTTAAACTTATATTCAATGACTTTTTATGGAAGTATATGGATCCAAAAACTCAAAACGACTATTAAAAAAGCAGTACATGTCAATAATACCTTAACGCCAGCATTTCCATCTTTTCCTGGCATCCCTGTTTCTCCTTTTTCTCCCTAACATAGATATTTACAAATAGAAGTGAAACCAAAACTGCAAAAACTAAAAATAACTACTACTTTTATTTATTTATATTAGCTTCATGGACGTACAAGTACTACCACTAAAATGAGTTTATTTACTTATCATAACAAAAAAAATCAAGAATCAACACATAGTGCACCTTTTTTCACTTTTTTTGTTAAATCAAAGTAATCAAAACAGCTTCAGACCAACCATTTAAATTTAACATTTGGTCTGAGTTCATCTATATACACAGCTGCTTAGTCATTGCGTTAACACTAGAGGTATATAAGGTCCATAGAATAGGGTATCAAAGGAAGGTTACACTACATGAATCTTAACCCAGTCGCCTTTGAACCACCCATAACTTCCCATATTAGGAGCCAGCATATTGCCAACATTAACGGTAAACAAGATAGGCATCATTTCGTAAAAAATGAAAGTGTGAAATTACATTTTATTAAAATAACATAATTAACTGAGGTACAGCGTACGCAATACAATTTATTCACATTTGTGGGTTCCGTCTTAAAAACTTGAGCAGGTGCTTTTCCTCTTAATTGTGTCAACGGCTTGCACGTTTTACAAGTGAATCAGTGAGGGAAAAAGCAAATCAAATAGATTTATGTAGCAATTTTTATTTGTCCAATACACAGTGACACAACTTTAAAAAGTTGGCTAACTATTTTAGAGTTGCGTTCCAATTTTTATAATAAGTCCATAATTCATATTATTTTTTTAGTCATGTTTCGTTTTTGCAAACTATCTGGTTACAGTGACCCTAAACGTTGGTTGTTACACAAGAGCATTTAACTAAATTATTAATTTTTTAAAAATAATTTTATATTTTATTCTTCTTTCTCTGGAAAGACACAAGCCCAAATGTCCAAAAAAACCTCTTTTTTGGCAACTTGATATATTCACACTACAGAGACCATTTTATTGGAGACATACAGCTCCATGGGTCATTTAATTTGAATTTCTGAACTTTTCTTCCAGCAAAAAGAGAAAGCAATGTTTGAAGCTTAAAAAAGCCAACCTTTGTTCCACTGCCATCTCGTCCATCACGGCCATCTTTTCCTGTGTTCAAGACAATAAACAAATTAAAGTGATACAGTGGAACCTCTATATAACGAAGTCCCCGGTATAACAAAATATTTTGTTTACCCCAGTCATGATAGTAAAATATATGACAAAAAAACCTCAATAAACTGAAATCTCGTTATAGACTGTTATATTATTGCCAGTCCCTTGGCCATTCATTATATCGAGGTTCCACTGCTGATGCTCTACTGAGAAGCGCCCAGTCAGTGACCCCCAAACCATTACTTTTGATCTTGAGCAACTAGGAAATCTTAGCTTTCGCTATACAAATCTGATGCTTGGCTCCCTGTTTTTCACAGGTTCAGAGCACTGGACTCCCTACAATATTTCTTAGAGCACAGCCTTGGATTAGTAATATAACAAGCTAGGGTAGAACACTGACAACAAGCTACAACAGGGGGGATAACAAGAAGGAAACCCATGGTTAAGATTTATTTTGAGAATAATTGTTACAGTATGTCTGACAACTCTAACACATTATGCACGAGTTTCATGCCTGGGAACTTATTTCTAGACCTTGATTTCACTCGGAGACAAGGACAATTTCTCACACCTGACAAACATAATAATTGTTCTTTAACACATGATTAATGACAAAAATTCAATTCAATTTCCCTTTGACACTTGAAATAACTTCAGAATTGCTTAAAGGTTGTCAGAACAACTTCACACATTTTTTGGCAAAGTTTGGAAGTCTTCGGAAAATTGTTGGAAATATGTGGAAGTACCTGGGATGTTTTAAGAAACTCCTGCCATGAAAGGACAAAAATCTCATGCATTTAAATAAATTTATTAATTTGACTCAGAAAGAGTTGGCAAGTATATATTGACATGTTTGTATTTGTATAAAGGATAATCACGGGTGACAAGAGGAGCCTGCAATTCTAATCTCCAGGTTGTTATTACCCATGCATTGCATGTATGTAGCCAGTCGTTTGGACTTCCACAAAGAAAGTATGGAATGCACAGAACACACTTTGAGCACATGCGTTTGGACCTTATATCACTTGTAATCACGTATATTTTGACCACCACACAAAGCACAGCACTGGATCGGAGTGAAAGCATTTTGACATTCAATCGTTGTTGCCCACACTCCGCAACCTTTATTACTAGTAATATTTAATAAAATAATGTACATCACCATTCACTCCATCGCGCCCATCTTTTCCTGCAATTACCAAAAATAACAATTGATTATAACAAAAGACTAATTATTTCTAAATTATATAATGTTGTATTAATGTAAATGGTAATGAAGGAAAATTGTTGCATTTT